TCGAATCACACTCGGAGAAACATGTTCCACACTGAGGTGAACGCACCTCCTTCTGTTGACATTTGACAAGTCAAAGTCTTCAAGTGTCGCTTGTCACCACTGTCATGTGGAAACGGTTAAACAACTTGAACCAAAATGAAGAGATAAATTTAAATTTGAAAATATTAATAAAATTATGATTTAGCAAGTTGTAAATATCCCGAAATATATAATTTTGGGAGTGAGGATGACCAGGAACTTGTTGGATACGTTGTGGACAGTAGGTAGACTTTTTCATAATTATAATGTATATAAAACATATATAAAAAAAAACCTTCAGTTTTTTTACTTTGGCCTTCTGCGTTTTACTTTCTTCATATCAAATATTGCATTCTAGATTCAAATTTCAATATATCTTCCACAGTCACCCTCTAATTGTAAATTTCTTTAAATTTTAACTAATTTGTTAACCTTTTTTCAATTTTGTGAATAGTGAGGGTGGCATGATTCCTTAATTCCACACAAGCTAACTTGCTTCTGGAGATCAGATTTGATTTGTAAGGGCTTATCCCACACTCACTATTCCCAATACCAGTTTTTTGTCACTTTGTTTGTTTCTTGTAATTTTTAATTTGTTCAAACAATTGTATATATACTATTTTAACTTTTGACTTAAAAGTCTAATTCAGATTTTATAATATATTTTTTTTTTAAATCTTTTTAAATTGTAAGTTTACATCCACAATTTTTGTAGATGAGCACTGATGATGGCAAATAAGCCGAAAACGCTTTGCATTGATTAATAAAAAAGTTTTGCACGAAATACAAGTTTTTCCTTTTTGAATCTAAACTACGTGCACACAGCTGTCAACCTTTTTTGGTTTTTTTAATTTTACTGTGTATTTGAATAGCGTCCGCATACCAAAAGTTAATTGCAACTTTTTGAATTTGAATTGAAACCTTTTTTGAATGGTCAAATCAATTATCTAATGTCTTTTCAGATTTAAACGTCCTGGATCATTCCTTGAAACACAACCTGATGGCTTGATAGCCAACTTGCAAAAGCTAAGTCGACGGGCTATAAGTAATAGTTACAAAAGGAAGGCCGTGCATGACATTTGCCAACGACCATCAAAAATAATGAATTTGGAGATTTCGACGTCTTCGTATAAGGAAAATAAAACAACTATGGATCTAGACTTCATACGGCATAATATGAATCGCAATCGATTGAACACCAACAAGTCAGCTACACCAAAAGATATACATGATGTCCAAGAAGCTCTGAATGTTATGGATTTAACAACAGATAGAATCGAACCATTTTTATTAGCCAATGATATTGAAACTAATATTGTAATTTTTGGTTGTACATCTAATATAAAATGTTTATCGCAGTGTGACACAATTTACATGGATGGAACATTTAAATATTGTACAAAATTATTTTTTCAACTATTTACTATTCATTGGTTGCGCAATGGACATTATATTCCTTTAGTTTTTTGCCTTCTTCCAAACAAACTAGACAAAACGTATACCATTCTGTTTAGTTAATTACTGATGTTATCAAATTCTATAAATATTTCTTTAAATCCTCAACAGATAGTTATAGATTTCGAAAAAGCCATTCGTATTTCTGCGCAATCTGTTTGGCCAAATGCAAAAATTTTTGGTTGTCGATACCATTTAGCACAAAGCTGGTATAGAAAAGTTCAAAACTTGGGTTTAGTAAACCTTTATAAAAGTCAAACTGAGTTAGGGAAATGGATACAACATTTATTTGGTTTACCTTTTCTCACTCCTGAAAGTGTAAGCGATTGTTTCATTAATAATTTTATGTCGGACATTCCTGATTCTAATGCCTTTTCAAGATTAGCAGATTATTTAATTGATTTTTATATTTCGGAAACGACTGTATTTCCTCCTTCGGTATGGGCTTCCAAAAGCAGTAATTTATTTTTAACAACCAACCCCTGTGAATCCTTTCACTCTCATTTTTCAAAAAGTTTTTACCATACGCACCCCAATATTCACGTTTTTGTTCAAACTCTTATTGAATTTCAATGCTTGGTTTATATTAAAATTCAAAGTATTGGTAACCCTATTGTTGTAAAAACGAAAAAGGTATTGGAGCTAGATAATAAGCTATTGTCAGAATATGATTTTGTGAAGTTAGTAGCTCATAGATACAAACTATAATACTATTTACTGTAATAGTTATTTTCCTAACAAGTGCGGAAAGTGTTACTTTCCCGCACGCGACTGCAGTTGGCCCGAACGACGCGAAGCGGAGTTCGGGCAAGCGGTCGAGTGCGGGAAAGACACTTTACGCATGAGTTAGGAACATTATTTTTTCTACGACCGTATATACAAAAAAGTAGGAAAAATTATTTTATTTCAACATATACAAATCTTTAAATAAAAACAACTAATTATTATGGATATTAATGTTAAATACACAATTTGTAGCATTTTGTAAATTATGTAAAATTGCCGGTACAGAGGAATTAGTTGGTGTTAATTGGCTGTTAATAGTCGTAACGCTCGTAGATTGAAAAGATGACGTGGACGGGAGTGACATCGGTTGCAGGTCGCATGAAGGTGAAAATGACGGTGGCAGCAAAGGTTGCAAGTCATTTCTATTTGAAATGTTTTTCTTCTGTATTTCGGAGTCCTCCAAATAGCCTTCAGAGATAGTAGTGGACTTCCAGCCACCGAGACGTTTTATATTGGTTATCGCTTCACCTGAGTCTGCTAGGAATGTTGCTGAAGAACGTCTAAAACTGTGTCCTGTATATCGTTCAGGATTAGGTAGACGCAAATATGCAGCAATCTCTGTTGGCATCTTACCAAAGGTGTTTACGCCAACGCACTGAATTGAGCATTTTCCCTTCTTATAATTAATAAAAAAGCGGCAATGCGGAGTGGTAGGTGGTCGTAAACCTGCGTACTTTCTGTACAGCTTCAGAAAGTTTCCATTATTTATTTCTTCACATAAAACAAATGATCTTGAAGAATGATTTTTGGAATCGGAAATTTTCACAACTATCAGATTGCCTTTATCTTGTATATCATCGAGAGTGATATTTACAAGCTCCGCTCTGCGGAGAGCACCAGCTAAAGCAAAAATGGTACTCACTTTAATCATAAGGTATACCTCATCAGGGGCTAACATAAACCTGGATATATCTTCTTTGGTAAAAACCTGCGCCTTCTGTGCTCGAAAACCAACATTTTTTTGTTTTAGAAATGACGTTAACTTATGGAACTGGCTTATATCCAAATTTTGTTTTATTTTTACTAAACTTTTCACCATCGATTAGCGAGACCATAAAGTATTAGATTTCAAAAACTTACTTAGGTGCGAAAAATACGCCAGAAACACCTCTTCTTTGTAAGTTTTTACCCCTTCCTGTTTACACCATGTGACAAAATGGTCGTATTGTTTTTCATATCTTCCTCGTGATTTGGCAGGTAACACCTCCAAATGTGCTTCATTTGCAGCTTTTAAAATGGCTTCGGGCAGCTCTTCATCCGATGAATCCATTATTTCTTTAATTTATTTTAATTCAGTTGACGCTTCAACAAACAACTTTGACGTTTTTGTAACAATAACACGCCTTGGTTACTATATAGCAACCATATCAAGCCATACATGTCACAGCCTAGTCTGACTTTTAAAAATATACAGAAGGTATATAAAAATATCTCTATTATTCAAGTTTTCCAAAAAATTAAAATTATAACAAAAAGCAAGAAAAAAGTAAATTTTATTAAATGGAATAGTTGGAAAATACTAAATTACCTATTGTAACAATAGTTATAACATCCGAGGTAAAAAAAACTATACAATAGGTAAGGCTAAATATTCATAATTTTACTTTCCCGCACTAGTGCGTGAAAGTGATTTTTTTCCGCACTAGTGCGGGAAAGTGACACTTTCAAAACTAAAATGTGTGCGGGAAAGTGGGTAAAAATACACGGTCGTAGAAAAAATTATTATTATTATTACACAGGTCTGCGAAAAAATACTTCTTAAAAATTGTTTTGACCCCATGATTTTTTTTTTAATAAATAAATGCCAACTACCTACCATATTTTGATTTTTATTCAACCGAGAAACATAACTGTTTGCAATAATTCAGTAGGTACCTGATAATTCGTTAATGAACAAACTAGTAATAAAGTGCTCAATTGGCCGGTCTCTGTTTGGTCCTTGGTGCTCAATTGGCGTGTCCGGCTACGGTATCAATTTTATCTGAGGGTAATAAAGTGCTCAATTGGCGTCCGTCCGTTTAAAAATAATGCAAAAGTCATTTACTTAATGTGTTAATATTAGTTGATTTTAATGAGGTTTCTTAAAATATTAGGTTTTGGCCAGAATTTTTTAATTTTGCCCCACGATGCGGCGGTCCTAATTACCCCAATGTGCTTTTTATCCAACATTTCCTTATTATTCTTGCATAATTAAATATCACATAATATTCCTCTGTGGGTATTTTAGCGTTATAGTAAGAACTCAAAGCATCGAAAAACTTATAGTATCTAAAAATTCGAAGAGGATAAATATGATTTTAAAATAATTCACAAATTTCTATGATATTACGGTAAATATTTTTAAATAAACGAAACTGCTTTATTGTTGACCAAAATTCTTTGATTTATAAAACATAATCTATGATCCAGGAGGTATATGAATGGAGAAAACGTGTACCGTTTATTTTTATTCAGGTGTACAAATTATAAAAATATAGATTTTTCCTAAAAATTTAAGGTATATTCAAGAATCATGTCTAATACTGCCACTACTTGTATTTATAGGTTGACTATAAAGGAGTTATTTAGATATTTCGTTCAATTTAAGCTTACCTATGATACAGTTATTAATAAAAGTAAATTCACTTTAAATAAACAACTGTTAAACTTAATTATCGCTAAAAAGAAAGTACTGAGTACGGCCCTGCTTAAGAATCCGTATGAACGCTCTAATTGTAGTCATTTTATTTTACCACAGTCGCCGAACGAATTCTCGCACGTATATATCTTCATTTCTAATATTATTATTATTATTATTAAATACTCGTAAATAGTATTAAATAAAATGTACAGTTTTAAATTAATTTTATTATCATTTTTCGGAATTATGTGCTGTGGCCAATGTTATAATTTCTTAGGTGTGTTTCCGATTCCTATAAAAAGCCATATGATCGTTTTTGCAAAACTAATGAAAGAATTAGCTAAAAAGGGACATAATGTTACAGTGATAAGTACATTTCCGGAAAAAAATTATCTACCGAACTACAGAGACGTGGATTTATCTGCATATATACCAAAGATGGTTGAAGTTATGGTGATATCAGAAGAACAATCTGACAGCAAGATGGTTAGATATGTTGGACCTACAATGACATCAGCTTTTGCTGATTTGGTATGCGAAGGGCTATCGTCACGACCGTATCAAGATTTTCTAAAGGAGAATTTAACCTTTGATGCCATTATACTAGAAAGCTTCAATACCGAGTGTTACGTGAGCATCGCACATAAATTTAAAGCACCTATTATAGGATTCAGTTCTTCAGGAATATTATCATGGACTCAGGAACGTTTTGGAATACCAAAAATCCCATCGTACCTACCGGATATTTTCCTAGGTTTATCTGATAGAATGTCGTTTTTCGAAAGAGTAGAAAATACATTAGTGACTTTTTTCCATAATTTGTTTCACAAATTTTATAGGATTGTTAAAGATAAAGAGGTTGTGCGAAAACATGTTGGTAGTGCCGCTGCGGCAAATTTGGAGAGTTTAGTGAACAATATGAGTTTGTTTCTTGTCAGTACTCATTTTACTTTGAATTTGCCTAGGCCGTTTACTCCGAATGTAATTGAAGTTGGTGGAATTCACATTGATGAACCGAAAGCTTTACCAAAGGTAAGAATTTTTTTTTAATAATCGAAGTGCTTAAACAATTACTATTTTATAATAAATTTTATTTGGTTATGTTGGTAATAATAAATAATATCTTAGGTTTCGAAAAACAATTTTGGTTAGGGTTCTGCTCTTGGAGTTAGGGAAGTTTAAGTCGAGTTATTGAGATTAAATTTGGTTTATAGATGTACTATCCCAATAAAATAAAAAAAATAGGCCCTCACCACCCCCTTGCTGATATGGAAGTGGTGTCACCATCAAAAAATAAAGTTACAATTTTTTCAGTAAAACAGTTTAATTCTACGATTTTTTCTACATACAAACCTAAAATATTTTCTAAATAATTTTTCAACAATATTTTTGGATTTAGAAAATTGTCTACCAGATCTGTTAGTTCGGATTAAAAAATAGTTACAGGTGAGATAAAAATCTAATTTTTAGCACATTACGTTAGATCTGATTTGCAGGGTTATTGAATACAAATCTTACCAAAACCATCACCTAGAGAAGGATAAAGGGGATGGTATCCTTAAAAATTAAGATAGAACTTTTCAATCAGTTAAAATATATGATTTTTTTTTACATACATACGAAAAAGTTTAAATATTTTTTACATTTTTTTTTTCTATCCTTGGACTTGAACTGTTATAGTTCGGATAAAGGGGTAGTATTTATTATAGTTACATATGAGACAAAAATCTTATTTTTGTATAAAAATCTTTCACCACCATCCCCTAAAGCAGAGGTTTTCTGGACTGGTTTTAGATGAAAATACCACCCCTCCAAAGCATAAAACGTGTAAAAAAGTTGTGGTAACAAATTTACTTTTTTACAATTATCTAAATAAAAAACATAGAAACTCTAAAAAAATGGTTTAAACTATATAATTAATACTATATATTAACGTAAATAATAAAAAAAGTACCTTATAACTAACACTTAGATGCCTAAATTGTTGTTTTTTTTTTCAAAATATTTAATTCTTGAGGTCGCAGTTAGGGTGGTTTCCGATATACTTTAAAGGTTGGAGCTTTTTTAATTTATTCAAAAATATCTAGAGGGGTATTTTCATCCGGATATTAGTAGGAAAAAGCGTAATTTAACACTTTCGCTGCCTATGACGTTCATTAACGTCATGACAGATTTTTCCCCCATGCCCATGACGTTTGGTACATCATTCGAAAATGTATGCTACGATGAACGTAGATAAGTCGCCATTTAGTAAATTGCCTTTATAACCCTGTAGGCATGTAAAACAGTTCTTAAATTGGTGCATTGTGAATTTGGTTTTGATACTATGTTTGTGGATTAAACATAGCAAGGCTTTAAGAGTTTCTAATTAAATGATATGCGAAATTGCTCCATATTTTAAATTGTGGTATAGATATGAAAACAAGTCTTTTATAAAAGTTATATGGATTTGAAAAACACATAATACATTATTTTTGGATCAACAGGTTGTTACGCTTCTACCTGTAACATAAAAAAATATATTTTTTAAATGGAACACTGTATTTTAGAATTTTTAGGTAATAGTGTATTAAACCCTAGAATATTTTCAAAAAGTATTTCAGGATTACCATGCAATTAATTTTAGGTGAAGTTATAGAATTATGCAAAACCCCAAATAAAATTATTAAAATTTAAGTAACTTATAAATGATTTAAACAATATTTACAATACAGGCTTATAAGATACCAAGCTAACGAATAAACATGATTAAACTAGTTTATTTTCTACAGAGAGTTTTGAAGCATCTCATAAATATGACTCCTTTTAATTTCAGTTTACTATTATTTTTTTCAAATGCAACACCCTGTATATCTTTTTAACATTAAATTAATTATACCTATCTAACAATACCATCATGTTAGCCTATTATATATACACAACACAGAGTGTCTCATCAGTGCTTATTTGATTGATACCTGTTTTATTATTAAATAGGAAAGTATATAAATGAGAGGTATAACAAATTTAATTGTTTTTATATCGTCAAACAATTTTAAGAGACTTAGCGTTTCTAAAAATGTTTTGCCTTCTCATTAATTTGCTATGTTATATACAGAGTGGTCCAATGAAAAGTATCCACCACCCTTTTCTTGGTTCCCTCAGATTTAAAGAACAAATGCCCAGAGAAGTCGATTTTTGTTCGGAGGAGGACACAGTTTTTCCTAATCGTATCATTGACACTTCAACTCCTAAGCAGTGGGGTGAACAACCCCTAAAATTTAGGTAGGGAAAGTACTAAGTGTGGCACCATTTTAAAAAGGTTATTTCATAAGAAATTCAGTAATATCAATATTGTTTTGTAAATTTTGATTTTAACGCCCTCTTGAGGGTGAAAATTAGGCACCTAGCCTTTTCTGTTTTTCTGAAATTTAATGCACAAATGCTCATACACGTCGATTTTTGTTTATAAAGGGACACATTTGAAGCATATTTTTTAACCTGCATTTTCAACCCCTTGGTGGGGACAATCACATCCTTAAAATTTTTAAAGTAGGGAAAGGGAAAGGGAGAAAAGGTAAATATTTTAAAGAACAAACAATTTATTTTCTTAGGATACCCTACTTATTGGATTTTGCTTGAACAGTTAATCCGAAAACGGCTTTACCTTGTAGTTTTGATATTATACATATTGAAAAATTCACTTAAAAAACAACTATAATAAGTAGGTACTAAATTACTTATTTTAATAAAAACTTACGACTTAAATTCCAATAAAAACTAGATCTACTATATCATTTGCGTTTTTTTATAAAATAAAAACAAGTAGTAAAGAAATAAAATTAGAAAACAATTCAAGCAAACGTTCATTGTGTTTTTCTAAGTTTGTTTGCTGTTTAAATTATTTAAATTTTTTTTCTAGAAAAATGATTTATTCCATTCCAGAATGAATTGAAATTGTGAAACTTTATTTTCAAAATAATAGTTGCGCTAGGTTTACTGCTAGGTGGTTTATTAACAATCATCCCAATAAAAATGTGAATCATTCGTATGTTACCAAAATAGTTCAAAAGATTTCGGTTACTGGATCTCTCTGTGGTAAGAAGATTTAGATGCAGCGAGTCGGCAGAAATAAAGCTATGAAGCTCGATGTTTTGGGACATGTTGAATTGGATCATACGCAAAGTATTCCTTAACTAGCTAAAGTCTCGGGTTACTCTCTTTCATCTATAATAAGAAATTTAAAATCACACAAATTTCATCCATAGAAAACTAGATTAGTACAAGAGCTAAATAAAGATGATCCTGATAGAAGGCTGCAGGTTTGTGAAGAAATGAGCCAGTGTTTAATTACAGATCCTGACTTATTATTTAATATTGGTTTTTCCGATGAGTGTACATAAGCTTTCAATAGGCATACTTGCCGTTACAGGGATGACAGTAACCCATATTTATTCCGTGAGTTTTATATCCGACACCCTGAAGAAATAAATGTCTGGTGTGGCATATTAGGTATCCACATTGTAAAACAACTTTTCATTCTTGGAAATTTAACTGGTGAAGTATACCTAAACATACTTAAAGATGAAATTGACACTCTTATAACAGAAATATTAGAAAATGACCCAAATCATGATGTTGATCAGCAATATGGGGCATCTCCGCACTATGTTGGTGCTGTAAGAGAATTTTTAAATAACCGGTACCCTGGACAGTGGATTGGAAAGAGAGGCCCAATTGAATGCCCTGCAAGGTCACTGGATTTATCATCTCTGGACTAGTTGCTTAGAAGACACTTGAAAAATAAATGTGCCTTAGAAGATCTTCGCCAACGGATAATAGCTCAGTGCAGAAAAATATTAACTAAAATTCTACGTATCGCAACATTCACGCGTCACAAACATCTGAAACGTACGAATACGGTCGCTAGGTAACAAATTCAATTTTATTCTTGTAATCTCTATTTTTCATATTGAAATTAAAACCCTCCAATAGTTAGTAGAAAGAATAGTTTGGTATAGTAATTGTTAATTTGTTTATGTTCATGTTAACATTACACACGTATACAAAAATTCGCAATTTTTTATTGTCTCAGCTGGTTTTAAACCCAAAAATTCGAGCTGTAACCAGTCTAAGAACTGGCACTCAGGAAGGTTTAAAATTAACTGGAATTTATATTATTGAAACTTGCTTTCTTATTAGTGAAAGTCAGAATTCTTACATTTTCTACTTAAAATGTAAATAATTTCAACTTAGAACGTCTACATATTGATTTCTCTATCCAGCTTGAAGGAACAAAATAAAGAAGTATGGATTCTTAAAATTCCAAACTACCAATCCACGAACGCGTCACTCTATATCTTTTATAGTCGTTGTTTATTAACTTCAAGAAACAATATCTACAAGAGATAACAGGTACACGGAAAAAATGTGACTAGAAAATTTTACTACAATGTTGTAGTAGTACATTTGTAGAAAAATACTTAACAATTTGTAGAAAATTTTACTACAATTTATAGTTAAAAACAATTCATTATTGTAGCAATTGAATTGTCGAATAAAATGCTACAACAATAGGAAAGAAGTCCACAATGTTTAGTATATTTTACTATTGTTTGTAGAAGTAGAAATTTATTACAATTATCGTAATTACTACTACTAACTTCTGTAAAACTTTGTACAAATATTAATAATTATGTCTACAAAAAATAGTAATTTTCTCTACAAAAAATAGTAATAATTTACATCCCTTCTTATGAAAAAAATTCAATTTTGTTCAAAAATATTCTATAATATTGTAGAAATTCTAAGTCATGTGAACAAAACAGAATTCTGCTATTGGCCAACGTTTTCTGACGTCGATCATAAATGGCCAGATAGTAGTAGCCGTTCGCCATGTTCACATAACAAAGCATGGTACATATACGAGTACCTATAACACATTATTATATTATAAGCACCGATGCGTTTGAAAAAATTTTAATAATAAATTCTATTGGTGGTAAGTACATTTATTATTGTTTCTGAATAATTTACCTTTAGATAACTAATTTAAATAACATTAGTAGATTATTTTAAAAAAAATAGTTGTGGCCAACGATCGAATGTTGTGCCCAACGATCGAATTTTGTGCCAAGTTCAATGATGTTTTTTGTCTTAATTGTGACATACCTACTTTCTCATTTTTGTTAGTTATCTGACTTAGGGGTCTATTCTGTAACAATTCCTTTATATTTAACGGCCTTTAAAAATATTTTCTTCTTTACTTCTGTCATCATTTAAACGGATCTTTAAAATACATTAGAGTACTATCTTAAAGAAATCTGTTTAAATAATGACCGAAGTAAATTAACGAATACAAAAAATATACTTTTAAAGGTCGCCAATATTTTTAAAGGCCGTTAAATATAAAGGAATTTTTACAGAATAGACCCCTTAGTCATTTAATATCCAAATCAGTATAAAGGTGATAAATATCCCCGTTTTAAGGGTATGAACAGTTCAATTGGTATTAATTTTTATTTCATATTTTTCAGGTGCAGAAAAGCCAACTGAGACTGAGGGTGCTATTATTACTGTTATTTATTACATAATGTAATTAAGACTTTGTATCTTTTTGTTAAAACAATAAATTGAATATTTTATTAAGGAACATTTTTTCTAGGTTATAATTATAATAATTATGGAATACTACTACAAATTTTATTAAAAATTACTACAATTTGTATGAATTTTTACTATTTATTGTGTAAAATTTTCGTATTTATTTTCATAAAACGCAATACATTTTTAATATAAATTCATACAATGAATAGCAAAAATTATAACAATTTGTAGAACAATTCTTATGATGCATTTGGATATTTTTACCAAATATTGTAGATAATAACTCTACAATACATTCTCCACAAATATTTGGAAATTTTTACTACAAATTGTCCCTGTCCCTATATGTACTATTTATTGTAGAGAAAAAATCTATAATTGTAGAAATTTGTTCTACAATTTTTTTTCCGTGCAATAAATAATTCTTAATAATGAAAATTTTCTTAATTGTCAGTAAGATATTCGTTAACTGCATTACAAAGAATAAACATAAATATTAAATATAACAGTTATTTTTATGTATATAAAAGCCGTTAAAATTTGTCAAAAATCGGGATTTTTAAAATTAAAAGTTTTATAGTTTCTAAAATATAAACTTTTAAAAAAAGTAGGCCATTTGTTTATTTTTATTACTTATAGTAAAAAATATGAAACAAATTCGTTTCGTTTAATACTTTTTAGTAATTATTTTATATAATTATTTAACTCATATTAGTTTTTTGGCAGTGTTTTTCTGTGTGAAAATATTTATTTTTAAATGTATATATAATATCATTGTACTCTACTTGATACAAACACAATACCTATGTACCTATTTATTTATCTCAGTAATAAAAGGTAGCCAAATTTCTATTAATATATTTGATCGGCAATAGAATTAGAATGCTAAAAAAAGTTCTTTTTGTTTTAATAATTTTTTTCTTAACAATAATTTTGAATTCGTCAATTGTCCAAAATAATCCACAATTTTAAAGTAATTTTAAAAATTCTGAAGTGTTATACATATATTATTAAAAAATAAACTTTATGTATTATATATAAATAGAGAGATATTACTTTAATGAAGTACAATAACCTAATATACAAAAATAATGTGTTCAATTGAAAATACTTACTAATTTTATTTAGTATTTATGCTAACGAAGTGTCAACAGCAAAAACATTAAATAATTTACAACCGACAAACAAATCAATATCATTCAAATACAGGAAAAAGAAGTAGTGGCCCTAGGACGAATGATGTATGAATAATAAAACTAACCTTACAACCTTTTTACCTAGACCATATTGTGGAACTTTTTTAGTAAAATACCTTTATCAATTGTTTTAAATGCAGGTTAAGGTCTAAAAATACACTTACAACATATTTATTTTAATTACTATTATTTTTAATTTTTCTAATGTTTAACTGTAATGAAATATAGGAATATTTGTTTATGGATTCCAGATTTATTAATTATTAAATTGAAAATATTTTTAACATGTTCCAATAGTAGTTTTTTTAATAGCTTTACACTTATTGAAACATACTAATTTTTGAAATATGACAAAATTTTGCCTGTATATAATAAGGTACTAACTAAATTAAAGTAAAAGTAATACAGTTATTATATTTTAGAACTTGAACAAATGGATAAATGACTCACCTGGTGGCATAATATATTTCAGTATGGGCTCAATGACTAGCGGTCAAACCTTTCCCGAGAAAAGAGTCAAAGCATTTATAAATGCCTTCGATCTTCTCCCTCACAGGGTAATATGGAAATGGGAAAATAAAACTATGGAAGGAAAAACTGACAAGATTTTAATACAGAAATGGTTACCGCAATTAGATATATTATGTAAGCATTTTTTATAAATATATCATAATAAATCAACTTATTTCGTTTATATTATTTCAGGTAATCCAAATGTGAAACTATTCATATCGCATGGAGGTATGCTTGGCATTATGGAAGCAGTTTACTGTGGAGTTCCTATTCTTTTATTACCCCAATATGGCGATCAGCATAACAACGCTAAGAGTTTGGAAGCTACCGGTGCAGGAGTTATACTTCGTCTTAGCGAAGTTACCAAGGAAACTGCTTATCGAGCTATGCTGAAAGCTCTACGGTTAAGGTAATCTTCTAGTAATAATCAATTTAAAATCTCTAAATATTTCAAAGTGACGTAATCTGTCAACTACTTATTTTATTAGAATTAAATTTAATTTTTATACGCTTGTGTTCTCAATCCTGTAAGGCCACAAAATTGCCTATTGTATTTTAAATTTTATTTCTTTTATAACTGTCTGTTTGTAACAAAATTACCATTATTTTAAAAATAAGAAATTTCATGTTAACAAGTCTGTTTTTAATATTTATTTTATTAATCAGGTCGTTTTATTTTTGTTTTTTGATTTAAAACAAAAAATTAAATTATAATTGTAATTGAAAAACTTTCGTTAATAAAAATTGGTTTTTTAAATAATATCAAAAGCTTTACAAAAAGCAGAACTTTATTTTAGGTCTTAATAATACAAAAGTTAAAATGTAAAAGCTCGAAAATGCCGGCAACGAACTAGGTAGTTTTGTTGCCGCTAAATATTGGTGGGGCCTTATCTTGGACTTGCCGCGTCTGCATAATTCTACTTTTCCTATGATTTTGGAGGGGTAAATCTTCTAACAATTCTGGCAACGTATTTTGTAGAAAATCCAAATAATTTTTTCCAGTTAATCTTCGTGGAAGTATGACAGGACCAACAATGAAATTACCAATTATTCCAGCCCACACATTAATTTTGAATTCGTGCTGAAAATAGTTTACCTTTATTGCATGCGGATTTTCAACGGCATAAACATGTTCATTATGGGTATTAGTTATACCTTTGCCACATATTTTACAGATTTTTTTATATATTTAAATTGCTGGGGCCGAGAAAATGTTCTTAGAATAACACATTTATATGCGCTAACTCAATATCAACATATACATATTGTTTTTGTACTTAATTTTCATCTTCTACATATTTTTTACGTTTCTCGCAACGCTATATGTTTTTAAATATTTATTATCAGAACGTCAGGGGACTCCGCACCAAGGTCTCGGAGTTTAGCAAAAACTTGTCTGCAGAAGAGTATGATGTTGTTATCTTGACGGAAACTTGGCTATCAGAAGACATTAAAAATGGAGAACTATTTAGTTGCAATTACATAGTATATAGAAAGGATAGGGATAAAATTTTAACAGGAAAACAACGCGGAGGAGGTGTCCTCATTGCTGTAAATAAAAATATCATATCTTCACTTATATCAATTAACTCACCTTTGGAAACAATTTTTGTAAAACTTAAACTACACGAAACCACAGTCATTATTAATTCAACTTATATTCCACCGGGCGCAAATGCTAAAGTCTACAGGCAATATCTAGATTTATTTGACAATTTAGATCCCTTAATCACTCAAACCACACACATGGTACTTATTGGTGATTACAATATACCATGCATAAATGGCACATCTTTTCAATTTTCTAATAAAAATGATATAATAGTAACAATGTCTCTATTAATGGCCACTTACAGTCTACAGTCTTTCAACAATTGTCTCAATGAGGATCAAAAAACTCTAGATCTGGTGCTTGGTAATTTGAATTTGAATATAAAGGAGAATAAAGACCTTTAGTTCCCATAGATAATAAACATCCCTCTCTGATAATTAAGACGGAAGTAAAAAAAAGTAATCAACTCACATACACAAATAATAATCTTCAAAGCAGATATAATGTTACAAAAGCTGATTTTAGATTACTATGCGAACTACTAAGGGATTTTAATTGGTCCAAAATTGGACACATTGAAAAGGTTGATGATTCTGTCAAATATTTTTACCAGGTTTTTTATAAAATGCTTGACATATGTGTACCAAAGTTTACTAATAGGCCACATGCATATTGCAAACAGTTTCCGCCATGGTTCACGGATGAAATAAAAATCGACATAAAGTACAAAGAATTTTTCAGAAAAAGAAAACATCTATCGGAATATTATTTTAGTAGATATAAAAAAATTAGGACGGACCTAAAATTGAAAATAAGGACGGCGCACAATAATTATATCCAAAATATGCAGAACTGTGTTAACCAGGACCCCATGCTTTTTTGGAAGTTCATTAAAGATAAGAGGTCTAATAATATATCTGAATCAAATTTCATTATAAATAATAGGGAAATATCTGACAAAAAAATTATAGCAGGGGAGTTCGCCGATTATTTCAGTTCAGTGTATGACAACGATTCAAACTATAACCTTATAGATATTAATGGTTTGACTAACAATTGGAACGTACATTTTTATCAGAATATTGACTTCGATCTAATATCCGTCAAAGACTTAGAAGCGGCATTTCGAAAGTTAAAACCGAAAAAGACAGCGGGTCCTGATAATATTCCTTGTTATATCCTAAAAGCTTGTAAAGATTATTTAATATACCCTTTGCTGGTAATTTTTAATAAGTCGCTTAAAACATCCATATTTCCTAGTGAATTTAAAAGAACGAGATTAACACCAATTTTTAAAAAAGGGGATAAAAATAAAATAAATAATTATCGTCCCATAGCCATATTAAATTGTACGGCGAAACTGTTTGAATTTGTAATATATGATAAACTGTATGCTTACTTTCAAAAATACATATCAACCGAACAACACGGATTTTGTCGTAAAAAATCTGTAGATACAAATTTATTAACTTTCAGTGATAAAATATCAAAATGTGTCAATTCTCGTGAGCAAGTAGATTGTATTTATACTGATTTTAAGAAAGCCTTCGATAAGGTAAATCACAATATTTTTCTAGCTAAACTGAAATATTATAGTCTTAGCGATCATCTAATAAATTTCTTTATGTCTTATCTAAAACTAAGGTATCAATACGTAATGTTTGGTGGTGAAGTATCTCATACAATCCTCGCAGGCTCTGGGGTCCCTCAGGGCTCCAATTTGGGTCCTCTACTTTTCTTAATATTTGTTAATGACCTTCCTCTACGTATTACATCAGACTGCCTAATGTATGCAGATGATCTGAAAGTTTTTAAGAAAATATCCACCCTAGATGACTATCTAGACCTTCAAAATGACTTAGACTCAATTTCGGATTGGTCATTTGAAAATAAATTACATTTTAATCTTTCCAAATGCAAGGTTATTACATTCAGTAACATTCGTAATCCTCAAAATTTTATCTACACAATGCAAGGATCAACACTAGAAAGAGTGTCAAAAATGACCGACTTGGGAATAGTTTTTCAAAATAATTTCAAATTTGATGAGCATATCCATAACATTACCAAAGAAGCTAACAAATTGTTAGGTTTTTTGAAACGCACGACTAGGGACTTTACAGACACACACTCGATTAAAAATGTATTTTTTTCTGATTATTTCAGTAGTTTTGTTCTTTAACGAACTTTGTTAAAATTTTGTAGTAGCGAGGTTTGTTTATTATAATTTCACTTATATATTTAATTAGATATTATGTATTTTTGTTGATTTCTCTTTCGCTGTATTTATAGGAACATGTAATTAGGCTCATGTCTGTTTGTTTCTGGAATAAATAAATAAATAAATAAATAAATAAATAAATAAATAAATAAATAAATAAATAAATAAATAAATAAATAAATAAATAAATAAATAAATAAATAAATAAATAAATAAATAAATAAATAAATAAATAAATAAATAAATAAATAAATAAATAAATAAATAAATAAATAAATAAATAAATAAATAAATAAATAAATAAATAAATAAATAAATAAATAAATAAATAAATAAATAAATAAATAAATAAATAAATAAATAAATAAATAAATAAATAAATAAATAAATAAATAAATAAATAAATAAATAAATAAATAAATAAATAAATAAATAAATAAATAAATAAATAAATAAATAAATAAATAAATAAATAAATAAATAAATAAATAAATAAATAAATAAATAAATAAATAAATAAATAAATAAATAAATAAATAAATAAATAAATAAATAAATAAATAAATAAATAAATAAATAAATAAATAAATAAATAAATAAATAAATAAATAAATAAATAAATAAATAAATAAATAAATAAATAAATAAATAAATAAATAAATAAATAAATAAATAAATAAATAAATAAATAAATAAATAAATAAATAAATAAATAAATAAATAAATAAATAAATAAATAAATAAATAAATAAATAAATAAATAAATAAATAAATAAATAAATAAATAAATAAATAAATAAATAAATAAATAAATAAATAAATAAATAAATAAATAAATAAATAAATAAATAAATAAATAAATAAATAAATAAATAAATAAATAAATAAATAAATAAATAAATAAATAAATAAATAAATAAATAAATAAATAAATAAATAAATAAATAAATAAATAAATAAATAAATAAATAAATAAATAAATAAATAAATAAATAAATAAATAAATAAATAAATAAATAAATAAATAAATAAATAAATAAATAAATAAAAAAATAAATAAATAAATAAATAAATAAATAAATAAATAAATAAATAAATAAATAAATAAATAAATAAATAAATAAATAAATAAATACCTCTTCTTGTAAAACCCGCTTCATCGGTAAAGAGAACCTTCTTGACAAAGTTTGGATCTCTTTCTCTTTGCATATTAACAAATCGATAAAAACTCAAACGAATTTGAGGATCATGGACTAATAATTCTTGTACTGGCTTCTTATGGTATGGATATAGCAATTGTTCTCTAAGCACTTTATGAACGACATCTTTACTTACGCCTAGTTCCCTTCCAATTCGTCTGGTGCTTAATTCTGGATCTTCTTCAACACGTTTTAAAATGTCTTCTTTAACTTCAGGAATCCTTACAAAATGTTCTCTTTCATTATCAACAGTATTGGGAGCAAAGGAACCGGTCTCCCAAAGACGTCTCTCAACAGCAGCAAAAGCTGGGTGGCTAGTTACAAGACGATTTGGACACCTTTCAGAGTACACCCTGACACTCTCTCGAGCATTTCCTTCACAAAATCCTAATGTCAGTAACATATTGGTATATTCTGCATTGGTATATTGTACAGCC